TCAGTTCAGTTTTATTCATTTCCTCTCCTCAACAGAGGAACCCTTCTGATCGTATGGTAGTTTTGGTCGGAAGACAGTGTAGTTCAGGCAGTCGCTATAGTCCACCCTCTTCGTCCCCCCTCCCTCCATTACATGCCTGCCTCCGAGGGCTGTCACACACAATATTTGTGTTGGCAAAGTCCTTCACATGGGTTTCGTGAAACAGGAGCTAATATCTACGGCAAGCGTTCAGTATTAATGATGTCTAAGTGATGGTATCTCTCTCTTTGTTTACGACAGTTCGCAAATCGCGATCGACAGGGACCTTCGAGGGAATTAGTTTAGTTAAGCAGGCTTGCACAGGATCGACCACGCTCTCTTCCCGACAACAGGACAATGTCAGGGAGGCAAATGGACGTAAACTCGGTGCGAACTCTACTTCCATTCTTTTCAGTCCTGAAGACCTCGCTTTTCTGTCTGATTTGCCCTCTGCTGTCTCTCTCTCTCTCTCTCTGCTCACCATATTCTCTTTATCTTCTCCATTCTAGTTTACTCTACCGGTTATGGACAGTCTTCTTCAAATTCTCGCTTCCGTACACCTTAGGGAGCTTCCAATCGGTGAATCCAATCCTCAGAGCAATGCCTACATACTGGGCCGTTCTGTGATTGTCGTCCTGACGAAGATCTATCGAGACATTGCCTGCTCCACATTGCTGCGAGACCAACTCACTTCCTACCTAAAAAGTGGCCTTTTTAAGAACTACTTTGTGCACAATCAGTACCTTACGATAATATACAGGATCCTCTTGGATACTCAGCTTTTGTCGACGCAGGTCGGCCAGGGCGAAGTTAAATTTGAATTGATCTGCTCAACCCTGCGCTGGGCATTTCAGATCATTGTTCGCTCAAGAGTAAGTTTTTTTCCGTTGGTCGCGCTGTTTTGTGCCTTGCTTCATAGATAAAACGACTAGTAGCCTTGTTTTAGTTATATCGCGTTGTACCACTGTTATTTCATACTTCCCTAACTCTAATTTCGCTAATCCCGCGTTTTCGTGTTTTTAGTACATATTATTTATTAGTCTACTTCTCTTTAATGGGCAACAGTAGTTTATGCAATGCACCTCATTACTCACTAGCCCCAGCATTTTGTCCTACGAAAGCAGTGGTTAAAGAGTTTTATGGTTGGGGAATTAGTATACGCAATGGAATATATTTTATTAACTGTTATATACATTTTTATTTTATTGTATTTAGAAATATTGTTGATTTGTATCTGAAGACTTTCCTAATCTATATTATCGTTTAACGTATGGCGGAAAAACTAGCTTACCAAAATGCAGGTTTCTTGAAATTCCTGAAAAAACAGAAATGGTCGATAGGAGGTCGTCTGCTTCAACTTGCCCGAGGTCCAACTTACCGTTATGGAGTTGGATTAGTATAATCCGCGGCGCGAAGCGCCGCACCCACCTTCAATTTATGCACGGAACAACTTACTTCCAGCAGCCGCGAGAAACAAATTCGACTACATTTTTCCACTTTTCACTTACTTCAAATAATTTCCTTCTTTGCCTATCCTATTTCCTTACCTCCAAAAATCCTATAACCACTGTTTCCGTAGGAAAAAATGCAGGGACTAGGGGCATATGAAGTGTACTACATAAACTTCTTTTGCCTTTTAATGTTAGTCGTTGCCTGTCTAGTTTGATAATGATATACTAGCGCGGAAGCCTGGCTTCGCCTTGGCTTCCTTACTGTTGTTGTCCTTGTATGAAGGAAAAAGGGCAAGTGTCCTCTGCAGTAAAACCTTTTGAAACAATTAATACGTTCGAGGGATAAGTAAACAGTGATGAAGAACGGTATGGAAAGACGGACAACAGTAATTGTGGCACTGGAGGGAGTGACATACGTAACCATTGAGGGAAAACGGGGTAGATGTCAAAGGGAATAGTAAGGAGGACACAAGTAAAAGTAATAATGGCAAAGACAAAGTTAGGGTAA